TGCTGTCCAGGATTTTGGTTCTTCGTCTCGAGCGAGGAGTTGGTCGCTCGAGCGAGAGATGGCGTCCAGTATTGACCTGTAGCTCTACATTCTTGGCTCGAGCGAGATTTTCTTCACTCGAGCGAGTTAGTTTGTTCTCGCTCGAGCGATGGTTCCTTCGCCCGAGCGTGAGTCTGATTACAGACCTGAGGATTTGAGTTCTTCGCTCGATCGAGTTTTCTTTCGCTCGAGCGAGCTTTTGGGTTGTTTGGCTCGAGCAAGGTTTCCTTGGCTCGAGCGTAGATTTTCTGTGTCTGGTCGCTCGAGCGACAAAGGCTTCGCTCGAGCGAGCCTGTCCAGTTTATATACACAGCAGCGGGTTTTGATCAGTCCTTTTCATCTTCTTTTTTATTCCAAACCCTAGGTCCGACTTCTCTCTCTCCCTACTCACCTTCTCTCTTAGATTTGATCCATTTAGGGAGTATTTCTACCCTAGATCCTTCATTAAAAAGATAGAGTGAGTCGAGGGCTTCCATTTAATCTGAACATTTGGCGATTTGGAGCACTTTGGTATTTGGGCACTCATCTCTGTCTTCACCATTTGGGTTGTTTTCTTTGAGGTAGGGATTTCCTACTCCATTTTATAGGTTTTTGTTCTAAGTTTTGGATTTTTGATATGTTGGGGATACTTTGGTAAATTCTGGGAAAAACCCTAGTTGTATTATTAAATTAATTTGTATAATTAATTCATGGAGTTGGAAAAAGATGGTTTAATTCATGGAATTGGGGAATTCATTGATTAAATGGCATAGTTGGATAATTTGAATTATTTGTCTATTGAATTGTTGACATAGTTATTTTCAGTTTAGAAATAACTGTTTTGGGCTATCGGTGGAGGATAGTCGTGATTGTTGTAGACATTGCATGTGGATTAGGAATAACTGAAACTAATCACATTGGTTAAGTCATTAATTTTGACTATTGCATTGATACAGAAAATACGTGTATTGATTGAGCATTGCATTTGCATACATTGTTTTTGTGTGGGAGGAGATAGGGGATGTACTCCACGGTTTAGGGGAAGATAGGGGATGGACCTCTAAACCGGATTTTTGTTTGGGAGGAGATAGGGGATGGACTCCATTAGCATCACTTTTATGTGTGCTTATTTATATAGAAGTGTTTTATTGATACAGCACTAAAATGTGTATCAATCTGGAAGTATGAAGTGTTTTGAATTGAGCTTGAGTCTCATTTGTTTGTTGATATTGGAAGAATGTGAATATGATATATATATATCACTGTTGTAAGTTCGGCCAGGTTCTGAGCCATGTTGATTAAGTTGGAAAGTAAAATGTATCTTAGACAATAGTGTCATGAGGCTGTAAAATGAAGTAATGTGATTATCTTGGTTAACCATACA